TATTAGAGAAGAAATGGTTAAATGTTATTAGAGAAGAACTGGTTAAATAATAACTGTTATTAGAGAAGAACTGGTTAAATAATAACTGTTATTAGAGAAGCACTGATTAAATAATAAATGTTATTAGAAAAGAACTGGTTAAATGTTATTAGAGAAGAACTGGTTAAATGTTATTAGAGAAGAACTGGTTAAATGTTATTAGAGAAGAACTGGTTAAATGTTATTAGAGAAGAACTGGTTAAATGTTATTAGAGAAGAACTGGTTAAATAATAACTGTTATTAGAGAAGAACTGATTAAGTAATAAACATTAGTTATTAAAGAAGCACTTATAAAATAATAACTATTTTCAGAGTAGTATTACGAAGTTTAAATAACATAAGTTAACTGTAGCTAAGTACTACAGCCATGGTTTAAATAGTATACATCTATTTTCACAGAAACACTACATAATTAAGCCAATACGTTACATTAATCAAGAGAGTTGTTTATAGAAGTCCCGGAAATCTACATAAAGGTGTTTCTTTATCCTTATATTTCTTCAGACATCAACTGTAAAGACAAAAACGGCAACACGGCGCTTCATCTGGCTGTGGCAAATAATGCCTTGGAAACCTTAAGCTGTTTACTTTCTTGTCACGCTGATTCCACTGTCCTCAATAAAGACTTGAAAGGAGCCATCCATATTGCAACAGAGAACAATAAAATACGTTTGTTACAGGTAATCATACAGTTAAGTTGTTATTCTCAAAGTCAAGCATCACTAGGTAATGCAGAATTAGGAAATTATCAAAGGCTATAGTGCAAACAAAATTGTAAATGATACAAACACTAGAAGAAGCCTTTTGATAACTCCTGAGAAATAACTTAATGATTTTGATTAGCACTGAGCTCAAATATGCACTTTAATAAAATATACCTACTGAGTGATTCAGAAGACAGTTATTGATAAGCAAATAATTCAGAAGTGGAGAAAACAGTTATCATTGTATGGAATGTGGTGTTACGGGCTAACCCTTTGACGATATAAGAGAGGTAACTTGAGGTCAACTTCAAGATCATCTCATTCGAAACTATCTTTAACATGCATACACAAAAATGTCTATTGTATATCATCAGTTATGACGTGGTATCATATAGAGTGAGTTATATGTAACTAGTGATCCCATGCATAAACACCCTGGCGGACAGATGCGAATATGAAAGCAGGATTTAATGTTTTTCATTTTTGTTTTTGAACATCTTTGATCTCCCATAAACACTTCGAATTTTTATGGTTACAACATAGATATTTGAGGGAGTTTTACTTTGTTGATTTCAAACAATGATTTTCAGTTTATATTGTTTATTTCTAACTATTTACATCTTTGCATAGGTGGCCATTTTACCGAAGGAGACTCTCTTACCTCGGTTTTCCCTAAACATCTTAGAATTATCACAACATGGCGGCAAACAATCAATAGTTATGTTTCAAATACTGCGTAAGTGTGAAAAATGCCGATATGGTGGTTTTATTTTTAAAATTTGTTTCTGTTATTGGTATTCTCACATAACATCTATGCATAAAAGAAACTCTAGTAAGCAGTCGCTGACACACATTTCTTATCATCTCATGTGATGGGACCCTATTGGTTCTTCAATAAGTCTTAAGGCTTATAACACTAGCCCTTTAACTACAAACAAATAAAAAACTGATGTGATGGATGTTGTTCATCAGAAAACAATTAGATAAATATATTGGAAGCAGTCCGGGTATTTGATGACATTCTTTGTAGAGTAGGACTATGTTCAAAAGCTCAGCAACTGAACCATTATCTAAATGACTTGGGAGCAGCTGCAGCATAAGACTTGTGTGTAATCGTACGCAGCTGCCTTTTATTTTGATATATGTTAACCTGTTGGACCCTTCCAACGTAACATGACCTGCTTGTCGAAATTCTGACTTTATATTGTACTTCAAACATAGGTTTGTATTTCTTTGATATAACCCGAGTTTGAGCTTCTGTTTTGAGGAGCGATTTTGGTAATTTGGTTACTCCATATACCTTTGCCATTCATAATTTTGGCATATAATGCATAATAATAAAATTTCCGAAAGACCTACCCTTAATGGTACTGTCACAAAGTAGGCTTCTACAACATCTTTTTACAAACTGTTAGCAGTGATTTTTTTTACCTATCCTCCGGTGTGTCAGCAGTAAGTTTACGGACTTATAACGCTAAAATCCTAGGTTAGATTTTCTCCCTTTTCGTTGAGACAGATAGCCCTCGCGTAGCTTTGGGCAAAATTCCAACAAACCAAACTTTTCAATGTTGAATCATTTTATAAAACGTTTTAAATTAAGAACAGCAAAGAGAAGAACTAGTACTCGTAAAGCTCTTACTAAATGTTGCTTGTAAATACATTTAACATCTTATTGAGAAAATGCAAGTATCTTGTTTGTGGTTTGACATCTTATTAATAGAATATAAAAAGCTTCTTTGCAAGGACATTGAACATAAACTGCTGGTTTATGGAGACATTTAATATCTCATTAAGAAAATATAAGCAGCTTGTTTGTACATCTCATGAAAATAATGTTTTGTTTTGTTGTTAACCTCAAAGCTACACAATGGACTATCAGAGTTATGCTCACTACAGGTGTAGACACCTGGTTTTCAGACTTACCGCTGAACTTCTGGGGTTTATGAAGATAATGAAAACAGGTGCTTGTGAGGATATTTGAAACGTTAAAACATAATTTGCATAGTAAATAAAGAGTTATTGATATAATTATCCTCACAAAAAGCTATTTACATTTTAGTGTGGTAAGTTATCCTCACGTATAAGCTGTACATATTCTTTCAATGAGAAGGTAAGTATTTTCACAAACAAATGTCTTAAAACACGCTGTTTACATTTGAATATTATTTCAAATGTCTTCAAACACTCCATCTACATTGTCTTAAAATTTAAATATATTAAAAATATGCCATTTACATTCTCTTGATAATTTCAATGTGTTTAAAGCACGCTGTTTACATCCTATTAATGTTTTAAATGTTTTCAAAACATGATGTTTACATTCTTTTAATGTGTTAAAAGAGTACAGATTGCATATTATTGAGGAAATTTAAAATGTCAGTAATGTAATATAACATTACACAATGACTTTCTAAGCATCACATTAAAGTAATTTAGATATTGTTTTGATGAAGACTTTTTCACCTCACTAAAGAGTGTAGATTTACATGTTAGTAATAATAGTTGTGCTTCAACAACCACATGAAGGACAAGGAAATCTGATTAAAGTGTAGTGACTTAGGAGAAGGGCCAGGGACGTCTGAAAAGTGACTTAATGCAAGATGGGTACTTAAAGCTACAACAGGTCTCATTTTAAAGCTTATAATCTCAGCTTTCAAACATGCACGTTGTGGTAGCCACAACACCCCGAAAGTCGGCCATTTTTACTGAGAATTTTAAATATTTTTAATTCAATATCTTTGGGTCCTATTCTGCTATAAAGTTATGTTTTTAGTATTTACTATCGATCTTTGATATATATATATTATTGTTCAAGGTAACGGTCATTATATAATAGTTACGAAATATGATATTTTTATCGTTATGGAGAACCCTAGCATTTCTAAATATGCATGAACACACGTTTATATCAGAGTTTATATATTATCCATAAAAATCTATGAAAACTAAATACCATTTGAATGGAAGTATTAAGGTGTTAAAGGTAACGATGTCGACAACTGCTTGAAAAGTGTGGAAAAGTACATATCTTGTACGTTTGAAGATCTCTTTTTGTAACATATAATCGAGTCCAAATATGTTTCAGTCTATGCTCTATCGTTAATGACATTAATGTTTAATCAAAGCCAAGGTAATGTTGAAAAATCAACGATGTTTGATCATTTTATTTGATACCAATATTAAGTACATTTTAAGCAACTCTGGTTTTTCCAAGTATGCCAAACTCAATACATATATCGAAGTAAAGATCATTTATCTTATTTTATTACAAATTATTAAGGATAAAAACAATTTTCGAAAGCTCAAAACAAGTAAATGTGTGAAGTACATCAGATTATATTTCAAAAAATAATAATTATGTTTTTAAATAAAATACAAAGATACTGAACACAATGTAATCTGAATTACAATATGCATTTAGGTACACGAATGAATACACGTACAAAAATGGTATATATATTTTTTCTTATTAGTATGATCTTATCTACTATGACAATAAATCTATAACATATTCGAAAACTTACTAAATACGCTCTGAAAAACAAATATGAATAAAAAATAATCCAGCACATCATTACTAGAGACCACACATAAATAACTCTTACCCTAGGCAATCATTCCATGATTTTAAGCATTAGCTATAGATAAAGCACGAGGCTGATACATTGTATACTTAACTATTATCATCATCACTACATACTGTTACGGAATGTGTCAGGCTGTTGTTGCAGCCTTCTGCATTTCCATTTACATGGACATGGTATGCTAACTTTATTCATTTTGTTTTGTTTGCAAACATTTCTGCTTTTGGATTCACACGCTATTCCTTTAATGTTTTCTATTGATGTTTGTTAGACCTCCACATAGAGTTGACGTGATTCTGTTACCAACTTTAGTCCAACCATAGCCTTCTGGGGAACCAATGTCAGGACCTGCAAAGTTGGATAACACCCATAGTTTGGTGTGTCAGGCAGGTCTCTTTACATACTACTTGAAACTAGCTTCTGTGGAAGGCAACTGTGCTAGGGAAACATTCCATGTTATAGCCTTTCGCTCTCACAATATATTCAAGCTATGATGGGTTGATAGATGCTTTTATTTTGGGTCATGCAACAGGTGAACTAGTTTTCGAGCAGATGTCAATTGGTTTGTTTCTTATGTCTGTCCAAATGAATCCAGATCCTTTCTCAGCTATGATTTTCATCACTGATTACTTCCCTTTCATAAATAATGTTGACGTTGTGTCACAACCACGAGTTCATGGACAGCTGGTAGCATTTTACCAAAGATTTGGCGATTATTTATCTAAATTAATGGATTTTAATGTATCGTGGAAGGTCCTTCTTATGGGTTATGTGAACAGTTTCTATCCATAATTTCCATACATGGTCTAGTGCTGGGAAAATAGCAGAGACCCAAAACCACAATATCAATGTCAGGAGTCGTTATAATAACTGTTTCTTTGAGGTTTCTCTTTACGAATTCCTGATTTGCAAAGTTGGCATGCAAAATTATTCTGGTGTTTGCCTCCACAAGTGAACTAGAAAATGAACCCACTATGTGTGTTCCAGCTGATGTTACAAATCTGACTTCTTTGCCATCATCAAATGGACCTGTCAAGTATGTCTTCTTGTCATCTTACATTTTGGGGTGTCTTGGACAATTTTCTTTCACATATTTACAGGGCATCCTTGTTTCATGGAACTGACAGAAACTTCTCCTACGGTAATGCAAGTTATCAGTACCATTTACTTTAATAGATGTGACAATTTCATTTGTAGTCAATATAACAGTTGAGAAGAGGGAAAATAAGCTACAGTATTGTAAGCCTCACAAAAGCGCTTCTTGGTTGTAGGTGGTTTTGGTGCATTCCATTTATAGACCCTTATCTATTAATTGACCCAGGGTTAATAGATAGGATAATGACACTGAAACTGATATCATTCATAAGAAACGTTTGATGACTGGTAGAGAAGTATGATCATCACACACACACACACACAATCACAAAGCAATATTGTAATATATATATATATATATATATATATGTGAGAAGTAAAACAGTAGAAATCGATCATGTTTGGCCCTACATCAAAGGGAAAGTTGTTTCTTACCTTAAAGCATACATCTTTTTATAATTATTCATGTTAAATTAGCTAAATTTTGTTTTTATTTAGGAAGTCCCTAGGATTTTCACGTTCTTCGTCTATAACATTGATTTTTGACTGTAAAATTAATATCAACAATAGATGAAGGGATACTAAATTATGTATATTTAAACACTTTAAAGAAGTTTAGAACTTTATTAGTATACGAATTATTGAACATTATGCTTTTCATAGAAGCCCGAAAATCAACCAACTGTATTGCCTTGACAACATTGTTTTAGCACTTTTTGGAGGTTGCGATCACCACAATACGGAATTTCTGAAAGCTGAAATTCTAAGCTTAAAAATAACAGCACATTTGTGTAACTATATGTTATATAAAGCAAATAAATACGCTAATGACCTTGACTTTCATAAAAATAATGTCACTAACAGATAGAACATACCATGTTATGTAAATTTAGACATTCTAAGCAAGTTCATAACTATATTAGTGCATAAAATATCAAAAAGTAGTAGTTTCAAATAAACCTAAAACACTTCAAACTTTGTTGCCTTGACAACAAATTTTGGGAAAGAGTTTTGGGGATTAGGATCACCACAGCATGGCTTTTCTGAAAGCTGACATTATAAACTTTAAAATGAGACCTGTTGTTGCTATAATTACCGACCTTGCATTAAACTCCCAAAATATGTATGCTAAAGCCGTTTAGCTGCTTACCCAATACTGGAACAATAAAATTAGTTTAATTTATTTCTATTGGTCACTTCAAAAGTATCTATTAGTTTTATATGAGATCACTTAACCTGCAGTGACCACTTGAATAATATACATTAGTTTAGTGAGGGCAGTTAAGTGATAACTAAAATAATATTAATCGGTTTACATTACTTACAATAATCACATGAAGGAAATCCATCTAACATGTTAATGAGCATTGAGAAAGTAACCTTAGTAATCTGTGGTGAATACTAGAAGAATGTGTGATATAGTAAACGCATTTAACTAGTTTAGTGAGGCCAGTTAAACTGTTAAATTAATTTATTTCGACACTTAACCTATATTAACCATTTGAAAGATAAATACGAGTTCAATGAAGCGAGTTAACCTTTGATTAAAACCTGAATATTATAGATTGTGAGTATTAATGTGTAGCGCCCGGTTGAAGAACAGATGTCAATTTCATGAAGTAATTCAACCATACAGGAAATGGCCAAGTTCAGGAAGAACATTAATGGATCTCTGAAAGGAAAATCTGGACGCACAGCTCTCCATATTGCTGCTAGTTCCGACTTTGCTGACTGTGCACGTTTATTAGTAAGTATCATAATACTGCGTATAATATTTTCAATATAATTAGGTAGTAATAGGAACACTTCTTTAGACATTAGCTAGGAATGTGTTTGATTTTATGCATACACTATTGACTTTGGTTTTGTAGTAACTCCTCGGTCTTTCACACATGATATGCCACATATAATTATTTTAAGATTCTCAAAGTTCATGACTACTCAACTTTTTGTTTGTGATTTCATAGGCTGAATTAGCTTAATTTTAGTTTTGTTTTATTGCCCTCTTAAATTACCGTTTATATTGAAATAATGTTTTAGGTTCGCAACTTGACAGCTAAATATAGCTCTCAGGGGTTCTGGGTCTTACGGTTTTATAAGTGTTAATATAACACTAACCTGATGCTAGATCTAACTGGAAAGTTAGGCAGCTTCATAACATGTTCTAGCAGAGAAAAAGTATATGTGCAAGTATAAACGAAAACCACCCGATGTTAACCTTCATAGTTAAAACTATATCAAACTCGAATTGGGGAACAGTCTGTACCGTATACCTAGTTGGGCCAATGAAAACCGAATTTGCTCGAAATTAAAATTCTTAGTTGAAAAGTTTGGATTTTCTCATCCAAGATGTTATGTTTGGTAATTATTTATTGAGCTTCGTATTTACTCATAACGTCATAACATTCTAAGTATGGATTTGCTATTTTTATTCGGCTAGAGCCTTACAGGGTTTTAGTACAAAAGAAAGGCAGCGAATCAAAAATATAATCGTGGCGTCATAAGATGCTGAAAATTAGATATTGCTGACCAGTATCGCCACTACTCGGAACTGTATGAATTTGGATTTGGAGAAAAAGCAATTTAATGAGTATGAGAACTGTTTGGTGTGAAAATATAAGTTAACTTCTTTAACTGATTTTGATGTTCTATTGCTCGATAGTTTCGAAACGTACTATAAACAATATTTAGAATACCATTGTTGTTTCACAATTGTTCTAACATTATAGTATAGCTGTGATACTAACCATATTACTGTACTACCATTTGACATATATCACTTAAAACCGTTTCAAATTGTTATGTTCTGCTACAAAATAAATACGAAATGTGGCAGTTGACAAACAAAAGTTTGAGTCGAAAGGATACAAATTTTACTTACCGTGTTAAAATAACAAATTTACGGTTAAGTACTTTATTATTGAGACTGCAAATATTACGGTTAAGTACTTTATTATTGAGACTGCAAATATTACGGTTACGTATTTTATTATTGAGACTACATACATATATAATAATCTGTAGATTATTAACAGGGAAAAGTAATTGTGATACGCTAGCTTGTTGATCTACATTGAGAGTTTGTATGTTCGAATAGGAGTTTAGTTATGTGTCATCTTTTGTCTCTATTTCTGTTTGGATTTTTTTGTTTGGTCAATGAATATACTTTCCATATATTTACTCTGTATGAAACCTTGGTTTTTTGTAAGATCGAAACTGTAACTGAGTTTTGTTTGTTTATGTTTGAGGTTATATGCTTGTATAGGAATAGTTCTGATGAAGCGTTCTTGTTTATGTAACATATTAATATGTTCCGAGATAAGTGTGTTCCAAGATCTTTCCGTTTCTCCTACATATATGTCTCCACATATATGGCATGTGGTGTGATAGACTATGTTCTTTCACTACTAGCCCTGATGAAGCTGCAATGGCAAAACGTCAGCTGAAATAAAAAATTTTATTTATTATTATCTGGAGAGCAAAGTCCGTTTTTTCATAACATTACTGTCAAAATGTCTAAATCACTTCAGTTCTGAATAAACAAAACTTCTAATGAGTAATATTAACATTATTGTAATACGGGTAGACTTAGTGTTGTGCTGTTGAACAACAAACTATTAATATGGCTAAGCAATAAAAGTTTACTTAACATGTAAAAGTTCGAAAACATATTTCTAAACTAAGCAGGGTAAAACTCCTACAGAAAGTAGTGAGTAGACAGTGTATGGCTATCCAACGTTCAGATAAAATAGCAAAATTCAAACCTTCCAAAAACTACCCTTCAAACAAATGATATTACAGAAAAAGAGTATGAAAATGATGCTTTCACAAAAATAGTGAGCGGGTAACGTCCACTCACATTCACCATTTAGTCTAACACCGAAAACTGATGTCTTGTGAAAATAATGAGACATAATCTCCTATGAAAATAAACAACAAGGAAGATCAATTGTAAGAGTGTGTCGACTGTTGCTGAGGTCGATGCAATCAAGTTTTAAAAATCAGTAGAGAAATGAATATGTTTTTCTAGATTCGACAGTTTGGTGGCCGACTCACCGACCCTTGTGACAACGGTTGTTATCCTTTCCACGATGCCGTGAAGAATGGATCAATAAACACCATTAAAGTTTTGTTGGAAGAAGGTATCTTATCTTTACTACTCATAATTATGTTATAAAGGTAAGACTGTATCTTATCTTTACTACATGTTATACATCTGACATGAATTTAATGAAAGGTGTTATTAGCTTCAGCAAGTTATATTACAAAGTTTTCAGGATTTAAAACCTAGAAAATGTGTTATTTTATAATATACTCAAGACCTAGCTAATGTGATATATGTTTGAGTTTATCACGTTCGCTGCCATCAGTAGTAGTAATAATTTCTTCCTTAGTGCCAAACACACTTTTCTTTTTTTACTTAACCCATGTGTCTAATATTTATATGGGTAACTATATTATGTTTAATTAGCGCATTGAAGCTACTTGTAATATGTGTCCCACCGGTGTTTCACTCGGTCCATAACTAAAAGTCGGTTGTGACCCACCAGTGGCACACATATGGCAGCTAATGTGTTAAGGAACTTTACATATGACATTTATATTAGGCACAAAATATGTAAAATGTACAAACCTCAGATTTCTGTAATGATTGCATAGCATCATTTTATTCAGTATTCACACAAAATGAGTGGCAAACAAGAAGGTAAGAAGATGTCTGGTATATTTTACTGTTCTCCGTTTCTGGAAGTCGCTGTAACAAGCTCTATAAACTCGACTATATCAGTTATACAGTATAAAATGGCTGGAAGATAGCGTGCCAAATAAGCACTAGAATGACGTCATACGAGAACTGAAAAGGCTGTTAAACACATACAAAGGCGGCTAAATATCCATCACAATTGTTAGTCAGGGTCTTTGTAGCTTTAAGAGTACTAGTAGCATTTGAATACCCTGAAGTTTTTTATTCTTAACTTATTTGAAATACTCAATTTTCTTCATTTATGGATATTCTATACATTCTCCAATTCAGACGTAAATTATACCAGTTGAAGAAATGATTTGAAATTACTCATAACTAAAGGAAATATGTTGCTACCCATGACCAGGTGTCACTGCGTTTCTAACTTGAATATGTAAACCAGTGTTTTGCATAAATTGTAATGGTTTATAAGAATTTAACCAAGAAGTTGGGTGACCAAAATAGGGTATAATGTTAGTCAAATTAGCTTGCATCTTTAGAAAGATGCAAAACTACAATAAGTGAAACATATGATTCTATTTCGCTATATCTGTTGGTTTGCTTTAGAGCCTCATTGGGCTACTTGTTGTGTCTATCGCGGAGAACTGAATCCTGAACTATAGCGTTGTAAGTCCGTAAATTTACCGCTGTCCCACTGGAGGACTCGCTTTATGTCAATGTTTCCAGTGATAGATCACATTTTACCTAGTCAATTAGCAAGTATTGTTTTTATTGAAATTTCTCTTTGTTTGTTGTGAGACTTTCCAAAGCAAAAGAAGATAAAATTAACAAATCAATTAATTTTTAATAAATTAAAGCGCATGATAGATATCTATACGTTGCTACATAGTTTGTTCTATCGGTAAGTTTTATAAAACTGGTTTAAGACAACGTTTTAATTATTTCATTTTTTCTTGCCAACGATTCTTACAATGAATATAATTCTTGTAAACTAGTCGTACTCTGTACATGAAGTTAAAATTAATAATTGAAATTAAGTTCCTCGGCATGCTTTACTTGTAAAGTTATTTTTCTCTTTTAAACAGAAAAGGTAATATTTCGTTTCGTTTGTTGTTAAACGCAAAAGCTACACAATAAGCTATCTGTGCTGCGCCTACCTCGAGTGTCAAAACTCTATTTCTAACATTATAAGCCTTCAGACTTACCATTGGGTGTAAGGCAAAAGCTAATAGCAACCTTGTTTCTCTGAAAATTGGGTTTTGTATATTTGTTATTATTTTTGTTTAGGGGAAGTCATGGGTATTACGCAAGTGGAAATGTTGACTCTTCGAGATTTTGACGGAAATACAGCACTACACACAGCGGTGAACATGGGAAACATAAATGTTCGTAACATATTGTATGATAACAAAATAGTATATATTGCAGACAAAAATTCTTAATGCACCAAACAGAATTTTCTGAAAGAATGCCTAACTTTAAATTTTGAAATTACGCATTTTAAGGAATTGCTTAGGAATAAAGAAATATTATATCGTTCAATTTTTAATTAGTTTCGTAGTTTAAATTTTTCTATTTCTACCTTGAAATAAAGTAATAACACAACTGATGCCAAATAACTTTTCTAACTGATGCGAACTGAGTTTTCTCATTAGAATGATATATATGTAACAATATTATTTTGAGCAGACTTTGATGACCTGTCTTCAACGTGGTGCACCAATAAACAGTCAGCAGCGTGATTTGTTAACTCCAGTTCACTTAGCGTGCGCTGAAGGAGCCACCGAAACTGTCAAACTTATGTTTTCGGCTAAACCTGAAGACAAGATGCTTGTGCTTAATACTTGGGATGCCCAACAGATGACACCACTTCATTATGCTGCTATGTTTAACCACGAGGATTTAGTAGAATATCTTGTGAAAGAGGTAAGTGTTATGTTATTAGCAGCATCAATGCATTATCTTAAAATATTGATCGTTAACTTCTTTCCACGCATAAGTGTATACTGTATCAATCACTAGAAATTATAAATTCAATAAGATAATGGTAATGTAGGATTTTGCTAATCTTTGACATAAAGAAAATTATTATGAGTAGTCATTAATACTTTTGATAATAGTTTTATGATAATTCACTTAAACAAGTCAGATACATTTTCACTTTCCTGCTAGGGGGCAGACATGAAGGCAATTGATAAAGAAGGACGATCTGTTTTGTTAAATGCTACCACTAGAGGCGCTTGGAAAGCAATGAGAAAATTGTTGCAAATGGGAGCAAATGTACACCATAAAGACAAGTTGAATCGTAACTTGCTTCACCACCTTGTATTTTATTGTGGATCCATGGACGACTTCATATTAAGACTAAAAGAGGTATAAAAGCAGATTATAGCGATCTTTTTAAACAAAATAATTACAAACGTTTACTGAGAGAATAATCTGTATCTATCTATCTATTTATCCGTGCATTGTGCCTCGATTATAACAGCGTAGTTTTTACGCATTCACTCATAATCATGTTTACATTAAAAATCATATCTGCAATTACAAATGCTTTTTCGTTCACATTAATTATTTTTCAATATACGTAAGTAAAATTATTTGAACACTCATAGCTTTAGTTGTTTGTAAAAAGACGATTATAGTTATTAATTACACACGATTTGAATTATTTGAACACGCAGAATTTCAAGAATTTATATGAGCAATATTTGTCGTTAATATTACCACTTCCTCTCAGGAGTACAGAACCGAACTCGCTAAGCTTGTAAATGAGAAGGATTCATTCGGATGTACACCTACACACTACGCTTCAAGAAAAGGAAAGCTGCAGATTACTAAGATCCTGTTAGAGTTTGGAGCTCAAATTAATGTGAAGAATAATGAGCTCCAGTCACCTTTGCATTTGGCTGCAAAGTAAGACCTCGACGGATTTAATTTTTTATTTGTAATATCAGTAAATTAAAGTGAATCTCGTAGGCTAAGCGGCGAACTTGTGTGTGTAATCAGGCCTAAAAAAGCAAGTAAGAGCAAAGTTATTGTTGTCACAAAATGCTTGAATGTATGTCAAGTCCATTATGTAATGAAAATAATTATTTAAAAAAGAAAATATATGATTCAGCGTAAAGGTTTTGGCGTTCAGATTTCCCATGATGCAAGTAATTTGCCCACCAGTAGTACAGCGGTATGTCTGCGGACTTACAACGCAAGAATCCGGGTTTCGATACCCGTGGTGGGCAGAGCACAGATAGCCCATTGTGTAGTTTTGTGCTTAATCACAAACAATCAAGCAAGTAATTTGGAAGTAAATGATAATTGGAAAAGATACTTGCTAATTTTGTTTTACATCATTTTAACTATAGCGTAATACTTATAATGCCAAGGGTCTAAACTAATGATCACACGTACATATGGTTTAGACATTAGAAATATGCATTTTATTAACATTCTTTTGTTTGTTTTTTAGCCGTATCTTAGCGGCTCACAGAACAGCTCTGAGTCTGTTTGTTTTTTATCTTTTCAAGTACGAACTTTTATCTCATAGCTCCGTAATCTCTTGACCGATTTGAGATCCAATTACATTTTTGGACTCAGAAGATCAAACTCTTTTGATTGATGCATTTGACCTCGTCCAAGGTCTCATAGATTAATTTATTGTAATACTTCGCAAAAGAATTCCAATATGTGGGTAGGCTAGTAGAGATCTTAATGAGTAATAATATTCTATCAGGTATATACGCGCCCCACGCTTAGTATTGCTGGCACACAAAAATATAGTTAATAAAAAGGGGAAAAAAGCTCTTGTTGATTAATTTACTTTACTCCTGCCCAAAAGAAGTTCTAGTTCCGCGGCTGTTGAGGATTACCTCTTGTTTTTCTATTGCAGTTAGGGTGCAACTTTGTCCCATTAATTATGTCCGACAAGAAACTGGTTTGATGTTGCGAATCGCAAATTATTTATATGGAATTTAAATTAATGATATTCTGCTATTACATATATATATATATTTATGTTTCATTGTACAAATGTAAGATTATTACATGATTAGTCAATTTGATAATATATTTTCTCTTTCTAGGTTTGGTCATTATCACATTATCTGTTATATGCTTCAAATGACAGAAAACTATATTGTTATCAATGACCCCGATGGTAACGGAATGACACCTTTGCACATTGCCTCCGAGAACGGGCATACACACGTGGTTCAGTTATTGCTAAGTCAGGGGGCGCTTATTAACTAGTATGTAATCTAGTATATCGCTAGTATATAACTAGTATATCGCTCATGTTGTTTTTATTTTATTGCCGTTTTTAATATTTTTCCATTTCAATATCTGTATTTTTCTGATTACACGTGTTTTATTATTCGCATGTCACTATAAAATCTTCGTTTAGAATAGATTACATATTAAATAAGTTTTCTTTGAACATTAGTGATGAGATATGAATAAACTGAAAAATAATACTTTGTAACCATAGACTGCTGAAATTCACACTTTTCAAAGTTCAATGTACGTTATTATTGTTATAATGGTTCTCATTTTTATTATATCCAAATTTAGTGATCACAAGGGCCGAACTGCTTTTCACTACGCTGCTCTGAATGGCTACACTCACACCATACACAAGATATTTTTAGTTCACTCCCACCTGCTAAATCAGACAGACAGAGAAGGGGTAAGCTTTCTAGTTTTTATATATTCTTTATGACAATAAGCTTCAGGTGCTTGAAATTTGGTTGAATCACTTAATGATATTCTTTTACATGGAGTCTTTAATTCTGGAGTTACTGATGTTGTCCGTATTTCATCGGCATTTTAAACACTTATTTTTCAAGTTATATGCAGCAAATTGTTTGTAGGTCCGTGATTTTGTTGGATACAGGATCAACAAGAATCACACAAGAAATTTAAACAAAAACACCATCAGTATTGCAAATATTTCTCATTAAATACTACTGAGTTCAAATATTTTTTTCATAGAAAATGAGCGATTTCACACAATTTTTCACTTCATTACGCTGTGACTATTGTCTCGTATTGAGTTATCATTCTTATTGCGTTATACTGAGCTATTTTGCACGAGTATAAATGGCTGGTACTTCAAGTATAGGGTGCGGTTACCTTAGGGAGGGAAGATATCTTAGTTCGATACCAGAAGGCCTGTTACTATAGGTGGATTAACTTACTAAGGTTTATAAGCATATATTTAATCATACTTTTACATTTCCTGACGTTTTATATTATTACTTGTTCATTCCTTGTACATAGTTTATAAACGATAGAGTCTGATTCTTGTATTCAACAATCGGTTCAGGTAGTGTCAGTCGGTGTTAGAATAATTTTTCTAAAGGAAAAATCGTTTTATTTCTACTTTTGAATAACTAGATACACGCGTGAAATATATGAAAGTTCATTATACACTAACAAACATCTCATATTAAAATGTTTCGAAAATGATTTTAAGCAGTGTAGTTTAACACTATTTCATGAATTCTATATTTAATTACATATCCTGATCATTTATATGTAAATCGTTCTGAAAAAGGAAGCTTTGTCAGTGTTTACAAAAAATATGTTATAATGGTTGTCTCGTTGACTTATGAAAGTTAAACAGTTGGTGTCCTACTGAACGTTGTCTGAAAGAAGCTATGAACACTTTATAAATTTATTCAATAGTTTCACAAGATTTATGCACGTGAAAGAAGTTTGGAGGTGTGTTTGCCAGTGATAAACTACCTTATCATACAGAAAAACAATTGTACATTGTCAATCTGGATCCGAGTCCTAAATCCGGTATTCACTGGATCTGTATTTTCATTGGTTGAGATAACAAAGAAAAATATTTTGATCCATTAGGACTGCCTCCACGTAATCTCAACATAAGATCACGTAGAAGAACTGTTGAACGTAAACTTACAATAAAAAAGTACTGTAAGGATCGTGTGAGTAGACAGTATTGTATATAAGTTGCTTATTATCGTTATCGAAGGTCCAAGAAGGTTCAGTCGTCAAAGATTTATGAAAAAATGTTAAATGTTGTTATTCTATGACAGTGATTAAACATATTTATTGTGTAGTAAAATGTAAGTTGTGATCTCATTCAAATAACGGATAACAGCATATTTATTAAAATCCTGCGGACAGTAAGATTGTTGTTAAAATAATGGCCTTAACACAATTAAAGCTAGACATTAATCACGTAGTCACATGTGGATATAGAGTGTCCACCCTTGTAAAACTTGTGTAAGATAAACTATCATGTGTAAAATGAAATATTTTGTCAAATTATATTGATATAAAGTCCAGTTAGTGAAAGTGTAACTTTTAATTATGGCATGATAATTAAATAAGCGTCCTTTTTCAGAACGATTTATATAAACGGTCAGGAAATGTAATTAAATATAGAACTAATGAAATATTGTTAAACGACTCTGCTTAAAATCATTTTCGAAACATTATAATATGAGATGTATAAAATAATACTTAGATATTAGTACATAATGAAATTTCATATATTTCACACGTTTATGTAGTTATTCAAAAGTAGAATTGAATGGAATTTTGCTTTTGAAAAATTAATCTAACCCGACTGACACTATCTGAACCGATTGTTGAATACAAGAATTGGACTCTGTCGTTTATAAACTATATAAGTTCTTATGTACTGAGTTGGAATGAACAAGTAATAATATAAAAGGTCAGGAAATATTAAAGTATGATTGAATATATGCTTATAAACCTTAGTAAGTTAATCCACCTTGAGTAACAGGCCCTCTGGTATCGAACTATGATATCTTCCCTCCCTAAGATAGCCACTCCCTCTGGTTCATTTTCGTAGAACTATTACGTAATGGTCTGTTATGGCTGCCTGTCATGGCAGACTAGCAACGCACCTTCTGGTGACATTGTGTGGAACTATGACGTCGTCGTCTCCGTTGACAGCATAGTTTCTGCCCCTTCCCTTAGGCATTTGGAGCTCACTTGTTTAGAACTTGAGTCTAAAGATCATAACTTGACTATAACGACTCACATTTTCAGCCTTAAGAGCGGTAAATATTGATTTACGTTCAGGTTAATTTGAACTAGTTTAATGTATAAAGACTCCCAGATCCGAAGTTTTCCACATTCGAACTAAATTTCATTATCCTAACGTGTAGATTATCCATATGCCCAAGCATGAAGTTGGATAGAGGACTTTGTGTGTTCTTGAATGGGTGTTTACGTAAAGGCAACAAAGTCCTCTATCCATTCAAGAACACACAACTGTAGTAAAGGCAACAAAGTCCTCTATCCATTACAGTTGTGTGTTCTTGAATGGATAGAGGACTTTGTTGCCTTTACTACAGTTGTGTGTTCTTGAATGGGTGTTTGCATCGAGAACAGCTATACACATAGGTAATTCGTGATCGTTTTCAAGCAGGAATTCTGTTTTTTACACTAGCATAACCCTGAATTCTTAGTTGTTGTTTGAAAATAATCCTCGAGTTGATATTTTCTTATAACTTTTCTCGCACATTTCTACTAGTTTCTACAGCTTGATACAATAGAATAAAGACAACGTGATAAAACATTATATTACTGCATAACTCAAACATCTTGTGAACTAGAATGTACACTAAATTATTTTAAGGCTATTGGGAATAAAAATGTGAAACTTAAAATATAAATCGGTAATTGTATTTTTGTGATAAACATCAACTTCAAGCCATTTCCCTTTTTTTAATAATCTTAGTATCTTGAACGCGTCCTTTTATTTCTTCAGAATTGTCGTACACTACTTCATTCCCAAGCTGGATTTCGTCCTCACCTTTCTATCAAGGAACAGCTCCTCAAGCATTATGATATACTCGTCAATCACTTTAGCGTTTTATAGCTTTCTGGTATGCTTCTTTTTGACTTTGTTCATGGTTTTGTTGTGTATGGCATCGCGGTTTAATTTTCAAGCTCCCTCAATTTTCATTTCTAATTACTTACATTTGTTTTGTCATCTCTTTTCTCACTGGTGCTCCCCTCCCAGTGGCACAGCGGTATGTCTGCGGATTTACACCGCTAGAAACCGGGTTTCGATACCCGTGGTGAGCAGAGCAGAGATAGCCCATTGTGTAGCTTTGTGCTCAACTTCAAAAACAAACAAACAAACCACACTGGTCGATGTGCAGCAGTTTCCATCGAAAGAGCTCTCTCACGTTCCTTCTACCTATACTCCAGTGTGCCTTAAGAATGAATATTATATCCTTCCTTTATACGTTGCTGATATGTCACACTCTAGATTTCCATTACATCTTTTTGAATACGATTTTGTACAGCTATTATGGCCACCTGCTCAACAATGATCATCCTATATAAAGTTCTGTAGTCTACTGTATACACTTATTTAGCCTGGAGCCGTAACTGAGATATTTTCATTAATGCCTCCAAGACCAGTGCAATACTTTTTGTCCTGGACGTCATAAATACCGCCCTTGTCGTAATCCATTCCTCTTTATTATCCGAACTGACGATGTTTCCATTCATATATTACCATATATATTTGTATTATTGTCGACAAATATCTTACCTGGAAGGTTCAGCCAGAAAGTTACCTCCCATCTGCATCTCCTCCGTTAGCTGTTAGGAACGTACTAGGATTTGAATGCATTCCATCTGTTTTATGCTTGCAACATCTCTATTCAATCCTTTTTCATTTATGGTTACAATATCTGGCTTTCTAGTCTTTTCAACTTTTATCATCGATTATAAGGTCTGGGATTTCATGCTCTTCGATTCAATTTTCATATCAAACTACCTACTTCTATGAACGAATTATTTGAACGCATCACCTTCCCACCAATTTTCATCCACCATCGAGATCTTGAATCCGGCATGTTCAACGCTGTTTTCACAATCAAAATGTCATATTTGCTAATCTTCTCTCTATGCCTATCAGAATAATGACTCTTCTTTAGTGAATCTGCCTAGTTACTTTCATCCAGAGGGATGGTGGATTGATTACCTGATCATTTAAGTTATTAGACTAATTATTACAATTTCTACTCTTTATCAGTGGCATGCCTTTGCCTTTAATAAACTTTCACATCGCTTACAACAATATCATTTTCTTTAGATCTTCTAGCACATCACTTAAGTTCTCGTTGTTCCAGTTTTCAATCTTTTCTTGGCCGAAGAAAGATTGTAACACACTGATAGCAACTTACCCCTAGGCCTAGAATGAAGTGACAAAAAAGTCTGTTTGAAATGGAACAGGGTGAGGTACCTATGAACGATATTCACAATAAAAGATTAAAGATAAGCTAAAATATAAACAAATACCATGACATTCCAATAATTCATTAATTATATAATAATATAAATGAAGCTGCAATCAACCATGGCTAATTAATTTTCCTCCAGACAACTATATCCAAGAAGTCTGAATGAAGAACGATTAGACAATTCCTATCTGGATAGTGATAAATAAAACATGACTATAAATAATATATATATATGTGAACAACCGTTTACAAGTAGTGTGAATCAAATATGATTAGACAGTCCTTCTCTGGACAGTGATAAATATAACATGATTATAAATAAAGTTTATCTAGACAATCATGTCCAAATAAACAAATTGCACCAGAAAAACGTTTCCAAATGGTTTCAATCCACCATGATTAGAGTAATCTTTATCTTAAAGTCATTTCCAAGAAGCTTCAATAAAGCACCAATAGGCATTGTTTCTCTTAAAATTCATCTTCAAAGTGTGTAAATCAAACATAATAAGACAATGTTTATCTGGAGATGACGAGATGGTTATATTTTAAGAAATACTGCAGAAAGTCTTGTTTTAAACACAACTAGGAAATCATCATTTGAACAATCTTCAGAAAGTAGCCTTGGACGAGAAGCGACTAAAGAATCAATACGTGGGCAGCGATCAACAAATACTTAAATCAAACGTAATTAGGCAATCATTAAATAAAAGTATTATGGGAGACACGACTTTATACCACAAACGAAAAATAACATTTGATAATATTAACTTTCAATTACAGCAAACTACCTACTTAGAAAGAAACTAACAAAGAACCTGGTAATGAGTATTGGTAATTAAATATACATTTCTTACTTATAAAGTTTAGAATGTATTTTCGATCAGTTAGGCACCCTCGCTGTTAATGCAACATTTCGGCTGTAAACCCAACAATATCTCATATGGTTCAGCCAGCTTAGGAAATTTAGTTTAGTCCTAAATCCATATATTAAGTAACAAATCAAAACAATGTTTACAGTAAGAGTATGATAGTAATAAATAAAGATAATAAAAGTAGGTATATCCAACATTCTAATCAATACTGTCAATGAAAGCAAAAAGAAAATAAATATTAGATTATACCTTACATAACTTATGTTTCATATATGTCTTAAGCAGCTAAGTCATAAAGAGACAATGTCTGTCTGATCCCAAACACGTATATTTGTTATCTGATAAAATATCTTTTAACATTTTAATTAACGAATACAAACAAAAAAATAAGTGTAATAAAAATATGTTTTTAAACATCTTGTTCCACAGTGTTTTGTATGATTTCAAACCGGCCACATGGGTTGGACTGTGTGCAACAAATATTTTAGACGTAGTGTCTGAATTGTATATTTAATAACTGAACGAAAGCATTTAACAAGTAACATTAATTTTATCACCTTACTTGTTAAAAACATGAAAACCTCAAATGTACATTCCAAACAATTAGAAATGTTAATACTTTTAACTTAGAAAGGATCATCTTGTTGTGTTGAATTTACTAAGCATTTTTTTTTACTTTTTCTCAAGTATCATTTAATAACATGGATATTATACAATTTTGACAAAAAATTGTAAAAAGCAAACGTTCCCTAGTGATTAAATGGTAAATTAACGGATTTACAACCATAAAATTCGGGGTTAGATTCCCCATGTTTGATAGCGAGAAGATACTGTATTTGTATCTTTGTACAAAACCAAACAAGTACAACAAATATTTATTTTTCAGTTTAAAAATGTCAACTTTTGAATATTAATAACATTTTGTATAATTGAACTAAAAGTTGAATACTTTTATCTATTTCAGAATACAGCACTACACCTAGCAACATTGTATAACAAGGCTAAGGCAGTTAAATTTTTACTTTCGCTCAACTGTAAGATTTTACCAAATGCTCATAACATGACTGCAATCGATTTCGTGCTGTTCTACAAGCACAGTGCTACTGCTATGGTAATGATGACGCACGAGACTCGGTAAGCTTTCATTCTTGACAAACCAATGATTTATATTTTGAAATTACTTCATGTTATAAGTCATATTTTTAAAAATGTGACTTTCTTTTTTGGATATATGTTACAAATAAAGAACAAGTAAAACGTTTATTAATCAAAAAATGTGAACGAGATTAAATTTGAACTAAAAATTGTATTTGAACAAAAGTATACTTTAATAAGGTTTAACATTGGGCAATTGTAATACTTAAGAAACATTGATCGTTGTACATCCTTCCGTTTGCAAATGATATTATTGGTATTTATCTATAGCCTTCATCTTTAAGAATTTTATATTGATTTAGACATTTGTTGTGAAAGTATTGTTATTTGTTGAATGGGGTTTATTTATTTATTTATTCTTGATATTTTGGTTTGTTAATCTATTTAAACTAAATTATTACTTAAAATTACAATTATTTTATTTAGAACTTTTTCTCAAAGTTATGGTTAAGAGTTAATTTGAAGGAATGTAAAAATATCAAAAGTAAATAAAAATCACAAATTTTTAACTCCAGGAATGATTTAAAATTTATTATTAAGAAAAAGTGTCTTACAAACTTTATTTAAAACTACATAACTTATTTTATGGGTACGAGGTTTTCTGTACATAAAATTGGCGTATGGCAACTTGCTAAATCTATGTTCTGATTAGAAGACTTGAAAAGGTTTTGATCTGATAAAAATGTGTTAGATAGACAAATGTATTTTTCTATTAAACTAGAACTTTGTCAGTACTTTCTCTCTAGCGTCATTGCCTATTTTCAGCTCAATCTTAACTAATATACTCTATACTACTGGCTGATCCTTTAATAATTAATGTTATTTATAACACAGAATGTAATGTTTTTCTACTAAACCTACTGATTAAAGAAATTTGCTAATATTAATAGTTATATCTTGTGAAACACTTTTTCTAGGAAATGAAGTGCTAAACAATAGGCCTAATACTGATTTCTTCTGACAAATGATATTAATACTATTTCAGGTGGGAGGAAATAATTCAACACAAACCTATACGATTTCACAGTGTGATTGAAGGACTGATAGCCTTAATGCCAGAAGTCATGATGGTAGTTGTTTTTTACTGTCTAATCTTTAATATTGAAAGTTTTATAAAAATAATATTTATTATAAAAATAAATATTCGTTTTTACGTACCTAATAATGAGAATACATATATATTAAAAATGAAAAAAAATAACATACAAGTTTTTCTATGTAGAGTTTAGAGGTGTTCAACTTATACTGCATGTTTCACACCTGGACCATTTTAATAAAATAATAAATGTTACTATTATTTTTACATGAACGAAAGCCTGATTTACTAGACGTACAGAAGCTACAAGCATTTTATATGATGTATATCAAATATATTTTGTTCAATTCTATCTTGATATTATTTGTAATAATTTTACAGGTCGTTTTGGATAGAAGTGTAAAACAATCTGGAGCCAAGAAAGTTGCGGAGACATTTTGTGTAAGTTATAAATTTTATTAGTTACATATACATTATTTAAAATAAATTTTACTCATTTAATATTAACTTCTTATATATTATATACACTTTAACTGTATGTTTCCATCTAAATAATAAAGAGAGACACGAAGACAGTCGATTACATTCCAATAACAACAGATTTAATCAATTTTAAGCTTTTTATCTTTATTTGCTTCATCAAAAATTATGTATTTGAACTATCATTTCGTAGTTTAAAAAATATAAAGAAATGTTAGTTATTAATATGATTTATTCAATTATTCCAAGAAAGTAGGTAGGAAATTATGAAAAATAAATACGAATCTTAATCTGTTATTCGAGTCAGCACTTGTTACTGGGTTATACCAATTTGGGTATTCAGTCCTCATCGATAAAATGGTGTTTTTTAGTTGTCTTCTACTCACTAGAATGAGCTTATACTTCGTAGCATCAACGCTTCATACTATTCAAATCCTATATCAATATAGGCTCATTGGTCAGTAAAAGACAACTGAAATACCATTGAGGAAGACAATTAATCAACAAAAAACTTATGAAACCCGACAGACGTAAATAATGTTAGAACTTTGTTTAATAAGAGGATCGCACAGTTAATGCTTTTAGCATATTTTGTCTAATAAACATATTTTAAAAATATATTTACTAGTAATGAGTGTGTAATATCAGTTCAACTACAGTTTTGGTCAAAATGTTTCCATATTTCATAAGAACTAAGATAACTATTATTAAGATGGAATACAAATACACTTAATGCTGTCAAACTAATAAATGCATGCTATATTAAACATCTACATATTTAATTTGTATAATGAGACAAGTTATATGGACATCATGAAAGATTTATTAGAACAGCAAACAATTTATCAGACATCTGTAGAAAGATACGTAAGTTGGCATTTCACCTATCACAACAAAATCTTACCAAAACATATATAATGAAAAAATATAACATCTGTAACCATATATCAGTTCATATTAAACATTCAGTATTGTGTTGATCCTCCTCGTACTCTAGTAACCTCTGCAAGGCGATATGACATGCTGTCGATGAAGTTATTGGTGTAATCCACCGTGATTTCATCCCAACTTCTGACTAGAAGGCGCTGCAACAGTAGCTGATTTAGGGTCGTGGTTAGCAATTTTCCGGCTCAGTTCTGCCCAACAGTTCTCAATGAGACTACAGTTGGAGACTTTGCTGGCCATGTCAATCTTGTAACTTTCTTCTATTCGAGATAATCGTGTACAATATGCACACTGTGGGCAGTAACATTGACATTCTGGAACGTAAAGTTACTACCAAACCTTGCCCTAGCATATGGCAGCAATATCGTTTGTATGTGGTGCCTGTAGGAGGCGACATTGATGTTTCCCTGGAGGATATGAAGAGCAGTTTTTCCACCATGATGAATAGTTGCTCAAGCATGTACTGCACCACCTCCTGTGGGAAAGACAGTCTTCCCTTATTTGTTCTCCAGACAAACGACGAACACAAATCCTACCATCAACTTTAACAAACCGGAAACAGGACTCATCTGAAAAGGTGAAATGTTGCCAGTATCCTAACTGTAATGCATGTTGTATTATCCAAGTAACATTGTTAGACGGTGAATTCTGGCTAATATTGGTTTGTAGATAACCTTTCTTCCAAAAGAAAATTGTTTGGTTAGTCTCCTATTCACTGTTTTTCTGGATACTCTGGAATTAATGTGTTAATGCCATACATGTCGTAAGGTGTTGCAAGACTTCTTTAGTCTTTGATGCACTAAACTGTACAAAACACGGTCATCTCGAGAAGCAGTTTTCGGCGTCTGCCAGTAGACTTTCCTGGAACAACGTTTTTTGTAGTTCGATGACGTTTCAGGATTCTAGATACAGTACACTGGGATACTCTACTATTCTGGCAATGTCTGTTTGCTTCATACCATTTCTGGACAGTCGAACAATTTGATGTCCTATAAGTTCTGGCAAGTGACGAGGCATGACTCTACAACAAATGCAGATAAGTTGCCTGAACACAGCGTTAATCTGTTTCGGAAAATATTATATCAGAATCACATGATTTTATACAAATAGGTGTGTATGTGTGGTATGACTAATAAATGCTCAAAACAACTTATACAGACCAGAATAACAACTCGTACATGTTTGTCCGATCACACGCTTCCTTTTCTGTTACTATTCGGGCACTTACTCGATAACTACCCCATGCAAGTAGACAATATAGAACAGTATGCAAACTGTATGTTTAGTTTTGGGGTAAAGTATATAGACAGACAGTTAGATAGATCTGTGAAAATAATCAGAAACGTTGTTTTGAAATAGTAAAATAGACAAGGATGTTCAAGGTGTTTGAATTTGCGAAATCAAGTAATAGACAAGACAAAAATATCTAATAAGTTAATACAAATTATTTATTGTGTGTATTTCGTTGGACAAAGGGCGAGGCCATGAATAATGCAGCGACAATTGGAAGTTTAAACTGGGTACTACTATAGAATCTGTAAATATATTCCTGACTCCTAATATGATAGGAATTATTTCTATTTTTGGTGTGTCTGAGTGCTGGATATTTATTGTTTGCTCATTATTTCGGTTTGTGTTTTTGTTCAGTTGTTCCTTTCTCATGTCAGGATATTTATTTATTGGGATTTATTTGCTTTTTATGTGGTGCACGTACTGCAGCTGCATAGGTATATGGTTGTGTGATTCAGGTAGATGAAGCTGTCGGTTGTGATATTGGTGTAGGTACTAGTGGAGTTATTATAGCTAGCTTTTATGTCTGGTTTAGTTCCTTAATTTGTTTCCTTCGATTTGATATTGTGATGTGTGATGTAAATGTTTATTTGATGCCCTTGTATTTGGAACATCCTTTGTAATTTGCACTGTATATATGTTTGCAATTACAGTATAGAGGGTTTTTACTTTCTTTTTTTTAGATGCTGAAATATGGTAATCTCCATTACAACCCACACATTGTGGAAAAATTTGCAGGCTGGCGCAATGTGCCCATAACATTGGTAATTGTAACATTGCGTTACGAATACGGCAGATGTTTTTGCCTCTTCTATCTGAAAGCTCTGATATCAGAGAATAACACTGTTTGATATTACACTGGGTTTCTGTTGTATGTACTGCTTTTCTACTTTTTTTCTATTTTCGTGTATATGAAATATTTTTTTATCGAACACATTTGCTTTTGCTCTTGGTAGATGTAGTGTAATATGTCCTGATTTGAAAGCATTCTGAGGCCATTCATTGAGGGAGGGAACTTTTTAGTTCAGCCTCTTACTAAGATACCATCCTCAGCTAGACGTTTAATTCCTGCAAGTTTTACATCAGGCTTACATCGTCGAATTTCAGCTACTAGGTGAGATTCTTAGTATCTTCTCGGTATGCATTCTATTATAACTGAGTGTTTAGATGGTTGTGTGTGTTTTCTGTTATCTTGTGATTGCATATTAGTGTTTTGTGATGGTTTTCGTTTTGTTTTTGTAACTAATGTGAATCCGTCTGAATGTGTTTCCTGTGTTTCATGAATTTGTGTATGTGTTTCAGTATCCAGGAATATACTGTTTTCTCTGAGTTTAGGATGTTCTTCTTCTTGTTTTTGTTGTAATTTCTCATCAATTTGAAGTTCAGTATAAAAATCGTGCTTATACTTCCTTCACTATCCATTTTACTTTTCTGGTTGATCTTTTACATTCTTTGACACTATAGTTTTCTTTCTTTGTTGTTTACTTTTACATGACAGGTCTTTTTTGGCCACTACTATTAAGGAATTTATTCGGGAGCTATAGATTAGACGGTCTTTAAAGTTACCTACATCGAACATACCTAGTTGTTATTTTGTGGAAGAGGCCTTAGGTGCGACATTGATGTTACGCTGCATATCGACGATGTCAGTATTTCGATGTTAATCTATAGTTTAGTAATATCATTACCACGTACACTAGCCAAAAAAAAAAAAATGTCAGTGTATTCAGCAAATATAACCTTATTCCTACTTTTATACCGAATCTAAAATTAAAACAATATTTCCTGATGCTAAAGATAAATATAGAGGTAAAAAGATTTACATGAAATTAGATGTGAATGCAATAAAAATATACTGGATGAAGTCAAAGGTTATGCACGCGACAAAAACATGTTAATTTCTCTATTTACTGAGTGTCGAAACAAGTAATTCATAAATTTCCACTAAACAATAATTTTAAATAAACCTAATACTGAAAGTGCAGCTAATATTGGAGAATCAATAGATGTTTTGTGTTACAAATTAACTAATTCTTTGTTAAGTAGAGATGAACGATTAGCTGGTGTTAATGCACAGTTTTTGAAAGATATACTAATTTCTTACATAAAATACCATTTATACGTACCACCTCTTAAGATTTATAGTAAGTTAAGCCTCTTCACATACAGCTACACACGTTTATTTTATAAGGTGGCATCGTTATACTGTTTAAAAATGTTGAGGAATCATTTAACATTGGCCGTTGCTCATATAGTTTTCATTGTGCGTTTTGAAAGCTTATTTCTATTTTTTGCTTTATTAATTATCAATTATTAATTAACTATATATTCTGCTCATTTGTTCAGTAATACTTTAGTTTTCCAGGTATGGAAAGATTGTGTGGTTTTTCTTTTTCTCATTTAGGTAAAATACGACTTCCAAGTTCTTGAAGATGCTTCCAACGTTGGCTCGTCATCCCTAATTAAGAAGAGATACTTACCAGTTGTTAATGTATGTAGATTTCACACATGAAAAAAAACACCAAAGAAAGACATAAATTTAATATGAAGTCAATTTTAGGTTAATTAAATCAAAGTAATACCTATATTTTGGGTGAATGTATTGTTTGTTTGTGGTTATGCCTAAAACTACACTATGGGCTATCTGTGTTATGCCATCCACGAGTATTGAAACCCAATGTATAAGCCTTTAGAGTTGTCTCTTAACCACAAGGAGGATGTTGAATGTATATTATTAGTGGTATTATTGTATGTTATATACATAATTATTGTTTGTTTGTTTTTGTATTTCGCGCAAAGCTACACCAGGGCTATCTGCGCTAGCCATCCCTAATTTAGCAGTGTAAGACTAGAGGGAAGGCAGCTAGTCATCACCACCCACCGCCAATTCTTGGGCTACTCTTTTACCAACGAATAATGGGATTGACCGTCATTTTACAACGCCCCCACGGCTGACAGGACGAGCATGTTTGGTGTGACGGTGATTCGAACCCGCAGGTTGCGAGTCGAGCGCCCTAACCAACCTCGCCATATACATAATTACTTGAACATTGTTGTAAATGGTTGAATAGTAATGCATAAAAATATAATTCTGAGTTATAGTATTCAAGTTATATATATACAAAATCATCAGGAACTTAAATATATAGAATTATATGTTTTAATTATTCTATTAAAATTAAACCTTTTATTACAGACACGTTCTGCACTTCCCGCTGTGGTAACGTTGTACACTGAGTGGTCACAAGTAAATAGACACCTAATTTTTATATAAATGTATATAACACTATATAAATGAAAATGGTCCGCACACTAATTATCTTGTGCTACAACATGCTTAGAACTCAAGGTTCTCTCGAATTGTCAGATTTTGTTAGAGGAAGGATAGTTGGTCAAGCAGATGGTGGAATAAGTCAGCGGCAAATTTCGTAGAATTTGGGAATCCCGCTTTCGACAGTCAACAGAATCATCATGCAGTTCAGGAAACACGGCAAGGAAACAAGTGAGTAGCGTCCAGGTCGTCCTGGTCCATCAGAGAGGACAAAAAGGGCTGTCAAAGGGAG